CAATGCCTGGTTACTAAATACATCACAGAATGCTAAATATCCCATTCTTTTTTTTTTTCCTCAGGGGAAGATTTGGCACCTCACTGTATACTGCCCTGCAACAAAATTACCTCAGCCTAAACCTGTCAACACACCATTACATCCCACGCCGACTATTACACAGCGGCACAAAAAAGCATGGCCATTGTAGCGCAAAGGTGTTGGCAGACAGGGGCCCGAGGAATGTGGCGAGGGGGGTCACTGTGTTGGCTCTTTGCACTATTTCGGCCTCTCCAAATACACAGGCCCTTATCACCATGCTCTATAAAGCGTGATGATGCCAAGATATCAATATGAGATCAGTATGGATTGAGAACACTTCTAAAAACATATGTGATAATGCAGAGAAGAGTGTGTATGGCTTTTGGAGAGGTGAGTTGTTTGTAAAGCGTTGAATGGGGAAATAAATCCTTCATGTAGTGTTTTTGTTCCTTGTTGCGTTTCAGTCCATGTCGTGATTTATTTTGAAATAACAAGGACTGGTTATAGATGTTGTCTTTCACACATACTGGATTCATATCAGTATTAAAGGTGCGTTGCGTAACTTTTCTGTTGGAGGGTCCTTCACCTGCTTGTCTTCATGGAGATGTTTCTGCTTTGTCTAGAATGTTTCACGGTAGAGATTAAACCTATCTACAGTATCTCAAGGGAGACAACTATAGTCTAGATTACAGGCCAAATCTATGGAGTGGAAACCCTATTCACAGAGAGCTTTTTTGAGCAATAGAATGTAATGAATAAATGCCAGATAGATGTGTTTAATGGCATACCATGGAACATTCCAGCAAAGCAATAACATCTCCATGGAGACAAGCACCAGAAAAGTATACGTTTAATGTTGAGATTGTGTGAAATGCTTGTGAATTAGCAGAGCTTGTGATGTGTTGCTTTAAGTCTTGCCATATGTTTTATATTTGACAGGAGAATCTAGACAGAACACAATGAGGTAAACACTGAAAGCCTTTCCGAGATGTATTTTGTCTTGTTTACAATAACGCATAGCCTGCTCGGGTAGGCAACCATTAGGCCTAATAGTATGATTTTAAATGGATAGAGAAAAAGCATGCATATATCAAGACATCTAAATTGAAAGCAGTTTCTCACAGATGGAAGAATTGCCGAGAATACTTTTGTTTATTGTTTGTACAAGAATTCCAATTCCATTTTTAAAACAGAGGAAAAACAAGACTAAAACTTTTTATGGGTAAAAGTTTTAAAAAGCCGTAAAATATAAAGAAAGCGCTATTATTAAACACTAGCTCCATGCTACTATGACTGATGCTATACTTTTTTCTCTAAATTAAACGTGCATTGTGTAACCTCCATGTTTTCTGGTTCACCATGTTCTTAGTAATAGTATGTTCCGCAGTATGGTATTAAACTAATTTATCTTGCATTTATTAATTACAAATGTTTATATTACTGCAAAAAAAAAGTAAACATGCAGATTCTTACTGTGGCCAAGGTCGCCTCTCCTCAGATCTGACCTGTAACTTGGCCTGGGAGCATCATTTGCTTTGTCTCCATGGAAATTTGTTTAATGTGATTTGGTTTTGTTTATGAAATGTGCTATATAATTCAAGTAGATTGGATAATACAGAATGGTGTTAATCTAGTCCAAAAATAGCACTGTTCTTTCATGTTTAGCCCTAAATATCTGCAGTGGAGGAGTCATTCTTGCACTCTCTGGCCCCTCCTCCCCAGAGAAAGGAGAGGCCGGTCATACCTGGGGGCCCGTGAAAGGAGCCCTCAGGTAAAGCGCTGTTGAAACAAATCTAAAACCGCCCAATGACACGCACTGTGAAACTCTCCGTGGGTCATTTGCACTGCTGACAAGTGCCTGCCATAGAAACACACACACACCTACTCAAGCCTCGGACAGAGAGATAAGGGATCACACAGGAGTGGTAAATACTGTTAAAAGAATGCATTTGTTTTGTTTTGCTTAGTTCGGCTAAATGCAAAAGAGAAATAATAGTAAAATAGCCATGCTTATTTTGAATTGCATCCAGATAATGGTTTACATCTTATCCGTCTTTTACACTTTTGGTTCATATTTTGTTTAGATCTTGCTTTAATTAAAACATTCTCAAAGTACAATAAAAATAATCATTTGACTAGTTGACTAATGGAAAAAATAATTGCAAAATAATGGACTACTTAAAGGTGCAATGTGCAACTTTTCTGGTAGAGGATCTGCCACTTATTTTTCTCATGAAAAAGTTATAGCTTTGCCCATAATGTTCCACTAATGACATTAAAGTCATCCATCTATTGCATTGATTTGGTTAGTGTTTATGCTTTGAAAAGCATGCATCTGTACTGTAAGTGGGCTCTCCTCCACAAATCTGACCTGTAACTTGGTCTGACATATTTGTCTTTATGGAGATGCAGTTTAATGCTATACTGTGGAACATCTTGGTGAAAACAAGCAGATGGGAGTCCCTCCATCAGAAAACCTATAGTGCACCTTTAAATAATCATTAGTTGCAGCTCTGGTGGGTAACAGTACTCTTACTTAAAAGTAAAAATGACAAAGCAACATTTTTGTTATGTTTTTCTCATTTTTGCAGTCCAGCTTTTGAAAAGATTTGGTGCATTATTTACTGTTTTATCCTTCCAATTACATAACGTCAAATTATAAATCAGATGTTGAGTTAGGTCCAGTCTGTTACTCATACAATTATTCTTACTTCAGTAGCTCTTGATTTCATCTGAATTTTTGACATATTAATTTTAGGAGACTGTTGACACATGCACATTTCCCTTACTCTCTCTTGCTCTCTATTATTTTTATTTTTGCCCATTAAAAAACTGTCTATGACTTGTGCACAGTCCAATAGTCATACATGTGGAGGTACTCTGAGCTATGAAAACAGTCCTTGGTTTCTGACTGTTTGGCTTCACAGCATGGGAAAGCCATTAGAGATGCTATCTGAAGGGGCTAAAAGCTACCTCAGGTCATATTTCTAAAGACACTTAATTTATGGTGGCTGTTTGTCTACTCTGTTTAGCTGAACAGTGGATGCCCATGGAAAAACCTGAGCTCATTTTAATCTACTGCATATCCCTTGATAATCCACCACACATAGGCTTTCCACTAAGGCCCCATTACTCACTTCCGCTACTGCAGCCCCATACCGCGTAAGTAGGAAAGAGACAGAGGTGAAATACAGTCCGAACTAGCATCACTGTAAATTTAATCACAAAATTGACAACTTTACATGATTTAATATGTTCTAGATTTGCACTGAAAAAAAAAACTTGCAGCTGTTTGCACATGTCTCGCCTGGAATGATCAATGCCCCCAAGCAGTTTGAGCTGAAACGCTGAATTTATAACTATTTTCTTGACTTTTTATCAATGTGGCGGAACAATTGAGCCACTATTCTCTGTATTGTATTGTCAGTGTCAAAAAAGAAAAAAAATAAGAAGGGCATCTGCCCTATAGACTATAATAAATCAGTAAGCTGACTTCACTCTCACTATCCTAGGCCAGATAAATAAAGAGGCTTTCATCAGAGAGAGTTCCTGGTAAACTGTAAATCAGTGTTTGCTTTATGAAAAAGCCAAAAGAAGATACTGAAGGTAATCTAGGAACACGGGCCCATATACATTTCCAATTGCCAAGGCCCTGTCTGGATCGAGAAATTGGTTTGAAGATCTGAGTTAGAAGTAATATTCTGTTACAAAAATTCCAAATGTCAATGTAAAAGTGGAGGCAATACTGTAAAACTGCACTTTTATTTAGATTCTACTGTCTTTGCTGAGGCCAAAGTTCACAAGTCCTAAGTCTTTTTTTTCATGTGTATTTCCCGAGCCTATACAGTTGAATTGGAATAGGATCCATTGCTTGCTGACTGTATGTTTACGCATGGTCAAATTTCCCTGCTTTGCAAACTCAACTTTTGTGTATTTACTAAGAAAACTACTTTGTGTTTGTTTTGCTTCTCACAAACTTTCTTGCCATCTGTCAGATTGCACAACACCGCTCTGTCCATCATGTCCTCTCCTTTCAACTTAATTGTTACCACACAATTTCCCAGACACTTTCCTCCAAACTTCAATTAACGTCTGCACAAATTCTCCTCAGCAGGGCCGAAAACGAAAACATTCACATAAGAATAGACAGTTTAAACAGGTGCCATGGTAACATAATCGTCATCCAAGCAATTACTGCCTTATGCCTGACTAACGTCCATAAATCAACTCCCTTTTCCACAAAGAGGACGTTGTGGGCGCTCCACTCCCATCCAATAATCAGAAATTGCCCTGCTGAAATAGCCCCATTCTTGTTTAGCGTGGAGATATTAAGCCTTCTATGGCCGACATTACAGGGGATCCTTCAGCGCGCACGATATTGTACCTGCCTCGACACCTGTTAGCTTTAGCCTGGTATTTCATCAGATAGTTGAAATAAATACTATAGTCATCATCATAACCATAATCATAGTCATAAAACCAGAGGGGCCTTTATGCTGTTGCCAAATTGCTCTGCGATCTGATTTACAGGCAGAGATAGGCGGGGAGGGGTGAGAGCTTATAGGGCATAGCAGGACAGGGATGGCATAAATATTCAGACACCTGCGGACCTCGGTTACACACCTGGACACTCTCACAGACTTGTACTGAGAGGAAGACATGCTGAAGTTACAAAGGAAACATTGTACCAACTTCACACACACAGGTGATGGGAATGATAAGGGGCCAAAGGACACAAATTACAGGCATATTAAAATAATCCCTCTCTCTAATAACTAGTAATGATTCTGCATACGCTCTCAGGCCAGTTAGAATGGTCTTTCTTATGTGAATACAACTTGTTGAAAACTGATTTTTATGTTTCTGTATGTGGGGGTGTTATGAGCTAATCTTGTCAACAGCCTCACTGAGTTTTAATGTTTCAATAAGTCTGATGTTTGTTGAAAATTCTCAAGTATTTGTTATTTCAAGTACAACAGTGTTATTGACATTTTTAATACAGAACAGAATACAGAATGGCCCAAAAATAGCAAAAGATGAATGGAAGGTACCATAAACTACTTTTTAACCACAATAGCTTGATTACATTCAGTTTATAATCATTGTTAATGATCACTAAAGCTAAAAAAAAGATGACACTCATAACACTTGAATGCCCTTAAAACATGTCTATATAATGAGACCTGTGCAAGATGTGAACAAACAAAAATAAATGAACAATGTGTAAACAAAGGATCTGACATAGAATACAAAAATCAACCAAAAACTGAAAACAAAAATTTGGTCTCATGTTTTAGACAATGTTTTAGATTAAGCAGTCTGACAGTCTTTTTGTTTACAAAGGCTTCTTACATTCAGTACACAACTGTAGGTAAACACAATACTTTGTTCTGGCTCAATAGTGGTTCATTAAAGTTTTGCTATTCACTGTTCTTCAAAGTTATAAAATGTAAATGTAAACAAAGCGGTATCATTGATTGATTTCAACTATTGTAAAAAAAAATCTAAGATGTCTTAAGAGTGTTCTGAGACAAACTCAATATATTTTCAATATATTATGATTGATCACTTATGCTTCTATATTAGCAGCACAGCATGGAACTATTTAGATTTAACAGTTGCTTCCTGATTGATCTTACAATAAACTTTGTGATGATGCATCTTCCATATACAGCATTATGAATACTATAATATCTGTCCTTCAAGTTTGTTGAGAGTTCTGCATCCGCTGACGTCTCCGTGCTAAGGCCTCTTGTTTTTTCTTCTCAATTTCAGCTGCAGAACACTTCCCTCTCATCTCACTGGTAACACATACTACAAAGAAGAAAAACATTAATCTGAGGTAACGTAATTGAAATGATTTGGTGAAGACTTCGTGACACTTACCTCTTTTACATACCACAGCAGAGTCTGACACATTTCTCTTGAAGGCAGTGTGACTTGACCTCAGGAGTGGTTTGCTACTACTAACATTATGATTCACTTGGTTGGATGAGCCCACAGACCTGTGGTCTCCAGGAAGACTCTGTGAAATCTGTGGTGTGTTACTAGAACTCTGCATGGGATTGTTCCACCCCTGGTAGTTCAGAGCAGTGCTACTTGTTGCAGGTAGAGAGTTGCAGCGGACAAAGGCACCTGACTGTTTGTTGGCACTTATGTTTGTGGCTTTGATTGGCAGTGGATCTGTGGGTTTGTGCAGTCTGTTTTTGAACATATCACCATTGTCCTGTCCACATTGTTCTGACTGGTTCGCTGTATAAGTCTGGCTGTTTGAGATTCTCTCCACAGAATCACACACTTCATACAACAGAGCATCATCGCCATCATCCCACAGACTGTCTGAAAAATCATCAGCTGATGTGGTGGACTTTGGTTCTCTGTGATGTGAGGACTTTAGAGCAGTGAATCTGGATTCAGGAGGTTCTATTGGGGGGTGAACAAGTGGGTCTGGTCCTAATTTAAAAGTGCTTCTGTTTGTCGTCTTTGGTTTGGGGCACAAGGCTTGCAGTGCACTATATCTTGGCTTAGTGTGCACTTTTGAAACTTTAGGCACATGGTTTGCATTGGCAGAGGATATCCCCTCAGAAATGCATTTAGTGTTAGACTGCATGTTAGTTTGAGTTGTGGCAATACGCTGCTCAGGATTCTGAGTTAATGCCATCAACAAAGAGTCATTGAGTAGTTCATTCTCCCAGTCATCATCAAAGTCATCACATGTGTTTTGGGCTTTTTGGGATGATGACATCACAGGGGGTGGTCTCACTTCCTGTGAACCTGCTGAGGATGTGGAGGCCTGGCTGAGTGCACCGCTGACTTTCTGAGTGGAGCTGTCAAACAGGGCATGCAGCTCTGCCTCCCCTGAGTCACATGACAAGGCCAGTTGCACCTTTTCTTTATAATGAGCAAAGTTTGCATGTTTGTTGATATTATTGTTGATTATGTTCATTTTTTCATTTGTCTCTTTGTCCTGCTGCATGTTTTCATCAAACTGCCTGGCCAGTTTCATTAGATCTTCCACACTGCTTCGTCTATACAAGAGGAAAAACATACAGAAATGTTTAAAAGCAAATAATAATTTATATTTAAACAGATGGTTTAACTTCATACCTAGACGATCTCTTCTTGTTCTTTTGCTTTGGAATATCTGGTGTACATGGCACAGCACTGTCTCCAATCCACTGAAGCAGAGGTGACTTTTGTGGCTTCACATCCTTCAAAAAATTATTTTACCACAAATATGTTAAATAAAACCAACAAAGATCATCAACAATCAAACAGACATCATCATAACAAACCTTTGGAGCAATGCGGTTGACGAGGTCAGAAATTTCTACTTTAGTGCACTGGAAGCCTGCAAAAAATGCACGTAAATATATATATGTATGTGGCAGGTTAAGCATGCATTGTGACAGTGGCCTCGCTGTTTACCTGCTTCAGTTTGATTTGGTGAAGTTGAATCCCAGAAGATATCCTGTGAGGGCTCTACATCTCCAGGAGAATCCGCGTTACTCACACCAGGAAACCTGCCTCTTCGTGTGGGGCTCTGCAAATCTGAACCGTACCGTTTGTTAGTGTAAAGTCACCAGGAGTAGGTCTGACAACACAGCAGTAAATCAGTTCATTCAGGTGAACGTCTTTAAAACTCACCCGTGAATCGCGGAGATGCATTTGCGGTCGGTGTATGAGCCTTTCTGTTCTCTGGCGTTTTTCCGCGGGTGAGCCTGGAGACATTTTTCCACAGTTCAGAGAAGTCCGGAGGAGCAGCAGCGGAGGCACAGAGGTGCGCCTGACTTGTAGCAGCACGGGGTTTTGCCTCCGACATTGTTCAATGCTCAATGAGTTACCCTGCTAACGACATCCTTGGTACCCTTCGCCCGTCTGTTGTATTTAGATGGTTTTGTACTTGATGTAGGCTTTCTTACAAACTCTATGATTTGTTTTTGATTTTTATGCATTCATTCGAACTATCCGCCATGTTTGTTGTGTGACGTCATTAGTCTACGGTAGCCGCGTAGTTCTTTTTCCATCGTGCGCTTATACAGTGAGTAGCTTATATGGTAGTTACTGTGTTTTCGTAACTTTAGAAAAATGAATTAGATTTGACATAGATATGTCAGTGACCAATAATATACTGTTATCAGCACACTCACAGTATGCCAAACATTTGACACATGTCTTATTCTGTTAGGAAATCATAAACCATTGTCTAGGCCTGCATAAAACATATACAGAAACAGAATAATAGCCTAGCATAATTTTTATTAAATTTTTTTAATAATAATTTGTCATTTAAAAATAACCAATGTTTAGGCAATATCAGGCTATCACTATTCTATGCCTGAATTACATTAAAGAATTTACTAAATTGCTGGGAGCAGTGGCCCCATTTCTATACAGCAACCAATTGTGAAAAACAGTATCTTTAAGTGCATTTTTAACAAACTATATTTGTTACTACAGAGGAAGTAACAGAAAAGTGGACAATACTGCCCTAATTTATCACTAAATCTGCCTATGGTGTAAAATCTGAATTGACTTAATTCATGCAATAAATAGTGGAGAAGTGTAATATTTAGAAAAGGCACATCTCTTACAGTAGCCTACAGAAACATTTCCAATCTGAGGCACTAGATGGTGCTTGTACTCCTTGTGGATGTAGCTTATGTGAGTGAAAGCAGGCAGAGCTGTGAAAAGGGTCTTGTGCCGATGTGGAGCAAAGACACACACAGTACAGTATAGTAGGCTACATACAGGCTGCAGTGAATTACTTGATTACACTTGATTCTGCTATGATTGTTTTCATTTGGAAACAGTTTATCAATAATGTGCATTGGGGAGACCAATCAACTGTGTTTCTTTGAGTGAGAGCCAAGCCGTTATGAACAGAACCTGCAGTCCAAACCTCACCCCCTTTAGAATTTTGTTTCATTACAACATCAGCACACACTTTGCCCCTGTTGTCAACCTCACTGTGGAACATTTTATACAATTATTCTACCATCAAAATATTGTATAAATAAGACAGAATAAGATGCAATAGATCTTATTAGTTAGTTCTGAAGAATTTTTTATTTTTTATTGTAATAGTATAGTATATATATATATATATATATATATATATATATATATATATATATATATATATACACACATGCAAAAGGACTATATATAATAAATGTATATATGTATATATATGTGTGTGTCTGTGTGTGTATATGTATGTATATATATATATATATATACACACACACACACACATATATATATATATATATATATATATATATATACACACATATATATAAATATATATATATATATATATATATATATATATATATATATATATACACATATAGTCCTTTTGTCTTAAAATGTTGTGCAGTACTGTTCTAATGTAGCATTCTCTTGATGCATGGTTAATGTACATTTACAGCAGAGCTGCACTCAGGCCCACAGGCCACTGTCATGTTAGCAGCGTGTAGCTGTTTTCATTGTTAGAAGGTTAACTGGAACCGCCAGAATGGATGTGAGAGTGATTTAATCAACGCTTAGATACGTTTCATGCTTTGCTATAATACATTCAGCTAATTTCAAGGATATTCCCATTGCTCTGTCAAGCAAGCTGTGTCATATCACGCTGCACACGCGAATCCAGGCCTGCAGGGCGCCGTCTCGTGCCCGTTCAAAAGTCACCATAACACCCTCTGTCACACTGAATGTTAGCATTTCCCTGAAATGATAGTTAGACACAGAATAAAGGGCATGGATGTGTCACTTTACGTTTAAATATGAGGCATCAGTTTCTGTTTTACCCTTTCCTCCGTTTTTCTTTCTGTGAGAGCTTTTCTGTGCCAAGAAGAAAAATGCCACTGGCTTCGATGGGAGGAGAGAGAGGGCTGGAGCAGTGTGCACGATTCTCCTATAAGCTGCTAAGACTGTCCCAACAGAAGCCTATCTCCGCACCAAACCACAGCCCTCCTTCCTCTATTTATGGGTTACGCCTGGGTTGTTTAGAAGCAATTAAGGAGCTAATTGTGGAGATTTTCAAGGACTGGGTATTATAGTAAAAAGTAAAGAGCTAATGGCTAATTGCCCAAGCAGCTGCTAGTGTTTACGAAGGAGGAGAAGTGATGCCAGGGGATGCACAGGCGGATGGCTGTTTGTGTGTGCTTATGTGGTACGGGCGGATCTGAGCGAAGCTTCATGTTGGGCAGGCGCCAGCTCAGAGAGACACTGGAGAATAGTACTAACTCACAACAGTGTCTGCATAAGTAATAATCACCTCTGATGCCCCTGGTGCTTTACTGTGTCCCATGTTTATATGTGTGAGGGCTCTATGCGATCTCTATCCCACCACCGCTGCACCCCTGCCCCCACCCGCTCTGCCAGACTCCCCTTTGGGCTCTCACTGCCTCACGAATGACAGTTAGCATGTGGCACGGCTCTCTGAAGTGGAAGCGATCCAGGATGCTATAGGCCTATGTGCCAACTTTGCCAGACTGGGATTTCACCCATTTCACAGGCACTGCCAATGGCTGGAACTGTGAATGAAAGCATTTGAAACAATGCCTGCCTCTACAGTGGCAGATCAGTGGGCTTCAGAGATGGTGAGATGACGCCGTAGGTGCTTTGGAACCTCCTGGAGACTGTGTCCCAGCAGATTTCTTTGGTCATGTGGGTGAGAGGAAATGCTAAGAGGGGTCCTGCATTTCCAACCCGCAGTGGGTGGCTCTGGTGACAAGGAGGAAGAAGAAGAGATTAAAGTGCTTACTAAACTTCTGTTGGTTTTCTTTCATCATAAGTTTAGACCATCAAAATGTCAGAGCTTTCTAAGAGGCAGATGTTGTACTGAATGCTGTATTACATTGTGTTTAGTTTACCCATGAAACAAAATTTTGTGGAAATTATGCTATCACAAAATCACTTACACTGTAGGTCAAATGAGGCAATGTTATCTGAGATACCCAAATACCCAGGAGAGAGTGAAATGGAGAGAGGTGCCGCAGAACTAATTATACAAAGATATAATATTAAAAACATGTTCACCTTCTTTTATTCAATTTTGTTTTCACAATAATAGGTCAATAACAAAGACATACTCAAAGCAAAAACTAAATCCCTCAAAGACAAATGAGTGAAAAGAAGACTTTCATATCAACCAGCATTATTTTAAAATTCATCTATTTTATTAGGCTAACCTCCAAAACTTAATATGTGTAATGAAATAACATAATTTTAGTCAATCCAATTAACCTCTGTCTCGACCCCCTCAGGGCTTCATTTAACATAGATTCAGAGGCTGCTTTAACGACATGTACTTTAGGTATATAAGTTAAGTGCAAGTGATGATGAAAAGTTTGCTTTGATAAAAGCTGATAAAACAAAAGGAACGTAATAATGTGGTTTAAAAAATGTGTTGAAATATTTTATAGGCAATTGATGATTTTTGATTTTGATTTTGCCAGTAGATTGGAAAATTTGATCATAAACAAACTAAAAAATCTTCACTATTTTATGTCACATGATTTGGGGAAGTCACTACTAAAGCTATATAGGAAGGATATCTATGTAAAACTAATAGCTACATAAACCACTGTAAAGAATGTAACATAAAAAAAAATGTAATAGAAGCCATTTTGCCGCAGCAATAGGAGAAAGTGCAGCGTGCTATGGCAGCAGCCTACTTTGACTGCTCATTTATTCTGTTTATAATAGCAAAGCTGATGATAAATGTCCCGCAGAGTGCACATGTGCTAAAATATTCATCAATTGGAGTCCCCTAATTTGCAGTGGAGGAAAACCAATAAATTTCGACGTGAGCGGGAGTCATGTTATATTTATATGAATATGCAAGACCACGGGTGTGACATTAAGATGAATCTGCTGCTGCTTCAAACCTGTCCAAATGTTCTTGTGTTAGACGTGTCAGACCAAGGTGAGGAGATAATGATGTAGTTGTTTGAATAATCTTTTGAATTTGATGTTGAACCACCAAATATCTGATTAAAGGAAAGTTTCCTCATGTTTTTAAAAGATGAAAAAACACAAAAAGTGCCCTTCAGCAATGTGGTTGTGCAGCAAATCTGATTTGTCATTATCAAGAGCTGGCATCTGTCCAGTGCATTTCCCCCCAAACCACATGCTAACAGCGCTTGATTAATCACTTTTCATCAGAACGGCAGGCCTTTTTCATTATTGGCAGCGTTCAGGACTTTCACATTATTTTTCCCCTAGTCACAATCTGTGTAGTCTGTGACTCCATTGTGTTTATGGTGTGTGTGTTTTTCTCTACTCAGGTGTGCTGGAGGCGCAGAGAGCGAGAAAGAGAGAGAGGAGTGGAGAAGTTGGAGGAGGGTGGTTCTCCAGTCCAATAGCCCGCAGAGTGGCTCTCTCCTGGGGTAAGGATGACAGGAAGTCAGCCAGATGGCACTGAGCAGGTCTGCAGCATGTGACCTCCTCTCTGGAGAGTCCACACACACAAGGAGGAGGAGGAGGAGGAGGAGGATGGGACTCAACTGAGCAGTCAAAGATATGAAAACAAAATGCAGCTATTTAAGGCATCACACACAAAGATAAATGTAGTCACAGGCTATATGATATTTTAGCTGTCTAATCTTTTTGCTAGTCCCAAATCTTGATAAACTGGGAGAGTACTGTAGACAAAATTGTTATGTAATCATTCACAGCAATACAACAGTTATAATTTAGCAGCTGTTTCCAGTAGTTCTGCTCTGTTATACAAAAGGATTGAAGCCCCATGTTAAAAATGAATGATTTTACGGTAAATTAACAGTAGCGCTAGAGATTTAAAAATCAGTTAGCCTCGAGACTGTGTGTGTCCTGCTTCAAATTATCTGATATGTTTGTGACCTGAAAATGGCCCATCTCTCACAGCTGGAGGTCACATCACAGGCAGGCACACCCATTTAGTTATTGACGACCTTAATGTAACAGCCCCAAAATAAATTGACAAAATTCCCCTCTCATTATCATCATAAACATTTGCATGAATACACAGTTTGCTCATCACTTTACACAAACTTCCATTTCATACACAAGCCCCAGAGCAGACCCCCTACCACCGCCCCGCTCACCCCATTCACCCCCATCCTGCCTGGGGTTGGCTTTGATCTAAATTTGGCCTCCGTCAAAGTCTTGTACAAAGTCATTTTCATATGGGAGCTTTGAACACACTGATGGAGAGGGCTGCAGCACTCACTTTTATCCTGCCAGCCCGTTCCCTCAGAGCATATGGTGAACACCCCACACTGGAGTTTCCTATGAGGAGGGAGGAGGAGGGAGGGGGGACACCCACAACTACAATAATGTACTGTAACTACCACTGTTTTGAGTATGTTTGTAATGCCTTACTATGACTTCAACATTATGGGGATTTTTTTATGCTATCTAAACTATTGTTATAATGTGTTTGTGCATATTTTAAATGTTTGTGTCACATATGGACTTGATGACAGGAAAATTGGTTTTGCAGTACTTTTGTACTACTAGTAGCAGTATATATACTAATATATTAGGGTGACGTCACACTCGCTTAATCTACTTTTTTTATACAGACTATGGACAAGACACAATTTCATTTCATATAAGACTCACAGTGTTTGAGTTATTTGATTTTATATTTTTGTTGTCATTCTAGCACTGCTTTTTGGAATTGTAAGAGATGTACTCACAAGACATCACCATTTTTTGTCTAAGCCAAATGCAAACATCAAACAAACATGTCCTTCCCTAGTATGAATAATATCAGAAATAAGTTATTGACTAACTATTTTAGTACAAATGTATTTTTGTGGGTCATGTTTTGATGTCTTTGTCCATGCAACAGGGGAATCACTTACTCCTTCTGTTTCTTTACTTTGCTCCTACAGAATCCTGCTCATTGTTTGCAAACACAGAACCACAGTGTCTTTGGTCCAGTTGTCTCTATTTGCCGAGCTGTCATCTGCTGCCAGAATGTCTGCTGCACAATGACTATAGCAGATCTACAGCATCACAGGCAAGTGGCTCTGACTTATTTGAAAAATGATCTTTTGAATTTAGATTTACTCCCAAATGAGTCCTACTTCAATTTGTGCGCTGATTCCAGTTTAATATGAATTTGAGCAGGTTTAGCTCTTCTGCACATTTGCACAGTTAACAAATCTAACTTACAAAACCAAAACTAAACCAGTCAGGACCAAACCAAATCTACGTCAGGACTCAAACACAAGACCAAACCAGGGCTCTCATAGTCTACCTATCAATCCTGGTTTAGTCCTGGTTTAGTTTTAGTCCTGTAGACCTGTTTTTTACTAGGTATTCTGATTTATCCTAAAATAGTGTTTTCTCCAATATATTTGGTTAAAAATGTTTTACAATCCACCAGAAATTGTTTAAATTGATCTAAAGTAAATGTATTTTGCCAGGGTTTTTTACTGTTTTAATGCTGGAATTAATTACTCTCAAATGAAGAAGTAAAAAAATAGAGGTTTTCCCTCAGATTGTGCAGATGAAGATTTGAATATTTGGGTTTAAATCTTTCCTTCTGAGGCCTGTTTGAATACATGTGTACTCCAGGGATACAGCATTATCTCATTACCATCTTTTAAACGCTGGCAGCCACTGTCTTGTCTTTACAGAGCAAACACCATGACGACACGTAAAGAGGAAAAATACTGGTGGGGTTGTTTTGGAGCTTTTATCTTCAATACATTCCTTCCAGATCGCACAGGCCTGGAACAGCTTAACAACCTATAATATACATATTATCAGGTCTGGCAGCTACTCTGCTGGGCAGCCATGTTTATGGCAATCACAAGTTGTATATTTTTTGTAATGGGTGATTTCAAATTAGTTGTAATCACCCATTCAAGAAATCTAATAATTGGAAATTAGTAATGTATAATGTATAATAAAAGTGCATAATCTAGAAAATATTCAAAATTTGGTAACCAAATAGTTTCCAGTCCTTCCTTTCAGGCTGTCCGGTGCAATATAACACATTGTTAGTGGATCAATCACATCAAGAGCCTTTGAATTATACTGATTCATAAGATAACCACAGTTTCCCGCATGTACAAGGTATAGCAATCTGATCAAAGACTAAAACAAACAGACATTTTCACTTATACTAAATATCAGTTTTGTGCAATAAATCCTATGACACTTATATATTTTTTCTAACCTCTCTTCCCTATGCCTTTTGAATCCAGTTCAGTTCAGTTTAATAATTGTAAACAACTGACAATAGTGACACATTAGCATTCCTGCACTCGTTTCAGCTGACTCTGATATTGTGCTACATTTCCGTCTTTGGTGTTGTCTGTTTTCAAACGTGCCAGCTGTTGGGATATTTATAACCGCAGTGGGTGATCGAGATGAGCCAGTAATTAGGCAGCAATGCTTTGGAGAAGACATCCACACCCATTCATCTCTCCATCCATCCTTCTCTCCCTCTATTCTCTCCTTTTAGCTCTCGGCCTTCGGAGGTCCCTAAACACTCCAGGAGGCGAGCACGAGATGAAGAGAACACTTGGTTTCACTGAATAATTGAAAAGGTTTTTACTAGTGCAACAAATCTCTGTTTGACCCGTACAACAAGAGACGAGAAGAGGTCTTATCACATACAGACATGTACTTGCATGGTGCATGTATGCACCACTGTACAACCTTGGTCATTTATAGAAATTATAACATGGGAAAGAATATGACTAGATTTAATGTTTTAGTTATTCAAAATTTGTTTGTTCAGTTTATATTGGTAATACACAGTCTTTTAAGTACCTGTTTATGATGATTGATTGTTCACTCTTAATAGAATTACATAATTTCTAGGGATGTGACAATATCCAAAAATCTCGTTACGATATTTTCATGATATGCATCTCACATTACCATATTTATTGTGATATTTAGTAGAGGCTAACAAAATTGTGAATATGCTACTTTTTCCTTTAAAATGCTTTGACATGCTTTGGCTCTGGTATAGTACAAAGAACTAGAAAAGCAGTCAGAGAGCGCAGACCTCCGCCAAGGACTACCCCCATTTTTTATATAAATTGCGATAAAATCAGTCTTCTGGATCAGATCCGGATCAGCCTTTGGAATATGAAAGAGGATCCCATTGTCCATCCCTGAGTCAAATTTCATGGGGTTTGGTCAATAATTAACCGAGATACTGAGAAACAAAATTTTTGGCCCCATTTACCACAATGTTAACTAAAATTTCAAAGTGATCCAGAATCCAGGATTTCTTCCGGATCACCCTCAAAATGAAATCAGTTCTTCCTTTTCACATTTCCAACAAATCCTGAAATATTTCATCAAAATCGGTCCATAACGTTTTGAGTTATGTTGCTAAAAGACAAACAAACAAAACAAACAAACAAACAAACAAACGCCGGCAAAAACATAACCTCCTTGGCGGAGGTAATTAAGAATTAAAAGTGCTTAATAACAGTTATTTCTGTAGTCACTGTATCAGCAAAGGATTATGATTTGCCTAGTTTCCTCAATTTTTTAGCTATTGCTGCACCATAACAATGAATTTGAGCAACTAGACTTGTGATTCGATATATTGTGATGACCCACAATATTAAATATATGTAATCTAGACAACTCACTACCCATTCACAGTGCACCTTTAGTATGAATAGAGAATTGTACTTTGGTGATGTTGATGTATGTTGATGTATTTAATTGACCTCCATTCTTTCTGGAGGCCTATGTTACTTGATTTTTTGGATTGCTGGGGGAAACCTGAGTGCCCTGAGGAAACCCACCCAGACACAGGGAGAACATGCAAACTTCACACAGAAAGGCCCAGGCAACCCACTGATCAAACCCGGAACCTTCTTGCTTGCATAAGTGCTAGCCACTCAGCCACCGTGCCACCATATTATTAACTGAGCTTGAGACAGATATTGTACGATACGATTTCACGATATTTTATTTATTGTAATTCCCATTCCTATTAATCTCCACTCAAAAAAGAAATGAAATCCAAAACATGCCATGTATTCCCGCGCTGACACTACCTTTACGTCATGCTAATTTCCCCAACTTTCAAAGCTGGTAAACTTTATCTAATTACACAAGTCAATGTACTCCCTTTGCTTTGATTTTTGGCAGGTTGCGGTGTTAATTTATGAAAAACAAATCTGAAATATGCAGATGTCTTTTGTTTGAAGCAGCTGTTGGGCCGTGTTGCCAGGTTTCAATCAGGCTCTCTCCTGGGACCTCGACATGTGCGATGTGCGGCCAGCGCTTTGATGTATGACAGGGACTGAGGGACTTCACAATTACTGTACAGGGCATGCGTATATGTGTGCGGGGCTTTTACACTCTAAACTAATCAAACTATTCAATTATTATAGCCAGACTTTGGAGATCCTAAACGTGATGTGCACTGTGTGTAACCTACCGCACATATGTTCTGACAAACATCGGCAGCCATTGCTAATTTATGACGCTCATTAGGAAGCACAGTACACATACACAAAAATGAAGCAATTATCATTTATCTTGATATATTATTTACAAGGATCTTTTTTGCTTTGCACTATAGGGAGTTGGGGACAGCTGGCACGATACTGAAGACACAAGAGACAATGCAATGTGATAAAATGTAGAATATACAGAATAGATGTATACGCTAAATGGACGCTATTAAAGATTTGGTATGCTATTGAGGTTTTGTATGTGTTGGCCGGCTCCACTATTTGATCAAGCTATAGCGTAACCATATGGAGATTTCTAATGTATATACTATGAAACATATGGGGAGTATACAGTACCAACACAAAAGCCAAACTGCCATATGCCAGAGATAAATGACTGTAGAGGTTATAGGAGTGGCAATAGGGCCTTCACAAATGCGTTTTAAAGGGAAAGGGTAGGCACTTTGTTGTGCGTGGCTAATGAACTTCTCTGCCAAGAATGTTGGTTTTGCTGGCACCTATTTTGATTGTTGCTGGTTAAGAAGAAAACTGGCTGTGAGGAAACTGATCAGAAGTCTTGAAGATCTAAGTAATGAAATCAAATATATGTTATTAGAATTATTCAAATGGGTTAGGGACAAAATACTAATCCATACCAGGGGACAGTATAGGACAGTTTACCGTTTTTTAAATGGATCAATCTAAGGCCTTTATTAAGAACATTTAACATAATTTAAATGTGGTGAACTTCTAAATCATCATAAATTTGCCCATTGACAATGTGTTTTGTTCCCTTAAACATAATTAATCACTGTGTTATTGCTGTGCTTTGGTTGAGATCACAGCATCCTATAGTTCTATGATACTTAAATGAGATAAGGCCTGACAAAACTGCTATTTGTTATTGTGCATTATGTAGTTATATAATAATAATACATCAGACTTATATTGCGCTTTTGGGACACTCAAAGACCCTTTGAAAGAACAGGTATATAATAGGTAATATAGTAAGGTACAGCGCCTAGTTCCTAACAGAAAGTCTTGAATCAAGCCAATTCCATATAACACAAAAGCTTTAAGTAAAAATCTCCATCAAAGACTTGTAAACATAACTTTTGTATATCTGCCTGAAGTTGTAACTGAGAGACAATAATCTCCCTGGTACGTCTCTGCTGTCCTGATTATTTCTCTGCTGCTCATTAGCGCTGTGCAGATCCGGCGGTTAGTCACAACAATGTCACTGTGATAGCACTGTAATTAACATTATGAATATTTAGCCCCCCGTGTGTTGTCTTTGTGCCATTGTTTTACATTCTTCTCTCCTCTGAACTATTATCAATCGCTTTCTCTCTGTCTCTTTTTTTGTTTTTGTAGTGGCGGTGACAGATGCCTAATTGAATGATGAATGTCCCTTTATTATGTTCTAATTGATCTGCGTGTGATCTGATTGGACGCCGCGTGGACATTAGCCGCTTCGTGATTGGTTGGGATCCCTCTCATCGAAAGGTCCAAGGGTGGGGTGAGGGTGGGCAAATGGCGGCTGGCGATAGTGACACCATGCTCTCCATCTGTCTCCTGCTCCCCGAGCCCATCACCTCAGCCTTTTCTTCTCACCTCTCACTCAAGGGAATCATGCCGACTCTTAATAAATTATGCAAATATACTCCAGTACACTGTAAAAACCAGTAGGACATCTCACTGAATGGAGGGCATACACATTTCTTAAAGGTCCTATATTACGCAAAATTCACTATTGTAAGCTCTAAGCCATGTTTAAATGTTGTTACCTCCTCAAAAACAGACCCGGAGTTGTGTTTTTTTCCTTCACACATATCTGAGTTGAGTTATTATTAGTCTGTATACATCTTAAAAGATCAAAATGCTTTGTTCCACCTTGTCATGAAGCAGTAGTTTTCAACAACTACATTTTACAGTTAGTTCAGTAGAGATTTGCAATTCGAGGGCTGAAATCATCCAAATGATTCTAGTAAAGGTGTATGTGGTTTAAAAACACAATGAAGCACTTCCTGTATCACCGCATGACATCACAAAGTGGAATGAATGAAACAAAACACAACTCCAGGTATGTTTGTGATGAGGAAACTGGAAAATAATGTAAATTGACCCAAAACTAAGAAAATATTTACAACCTTATTGTTTTATTTGTTTTTGTCTTTCTCTACTTACTGCTCTTGAATTTACTATAAGCTACTGTACTAATTAAATGAGCTGAAGATCCCCAAATAGGTCCAGTTACTTTTTCTGATATTACTTTTGTGTATATTTCGCATATACTGTATCTCTTCAATGCCTGTAGTATGAATTCAGAGCCAATCTGAGTCTGATGTTTATTTGAGTCCAGTGAACTTTTTTTACAGTGTATTCATCTTTACCAATCTCCTTTTTACTGCACGCACATCCCTTACATATCCACACACAGGGTCACGTCCTTGCTCTGTTGCACTGTTGTCCAGCCATATATTACACCAAAACACCTACCTCACCCCCGCCCCTCCCCTATCCCGCAATCTCCTCTTACACCCACTCACAACACACATGAGTTTTTTATTGTGCCAGGACAAGGACACAAGCGCGCACGTACGGACATAAAAAACAGGCGCAGACACACACTTTGGAGCACACAAAAACATGGCCGTACGACACACTGGTGGGTGTCGGGGAGCGGCCCTGACCTGATGAAGATTAATGGGAGCTCCCTGAGTGACAGGCGAGGGAGTGGAAGGGCAGAGGGCCTCGTTAATCAAGAGGCTGACAGGTGCCATTCAGGGCAGCCCACTACCATCACCCCGCACACACGCGCACACACACACACATACACGCACGCACACACACACACACACACACAGAAACAGACATTAGCGCTATCAGAAGAGCATGGTCACTAGAGTACAACCAGACTAGATCCTACATACTGTGCACAATTTGAACCCTGGATGTGGTTTTCTGGATGAGATTAGACAGAGATTGTTGTGAGTCCTCTGCGAATATCATCAAGCAGAATTTCATTGGTTGTGATTGTCCATTTTTAAGGTTGCTAACACAGTCATGATTTAGACAAGGATTTACACCAGATGGCCTTCAATGGCAATGACCAATCTGAGCTACCGTTCTCCAGTTAATGCTTTTCTTTCTTAAAATTTTCTTAATTGTGTAACTTTCTGGAAGGGACATGTCACCTGCGCCTGCACACATGCTTTTGTCTGTTCTGTTTTGTCTGTTTTTTGGCTAAAAAGTTACATGTTGGCTTTACGTTTGTACGGCTTTATCTTGTTCACATTTACCATTCAGCTTGACCAGGGCAGCGTTAAGCACAAGAAGGCTTAATCATGCACCGCCAGAATTAGAACTCATTGCTTAAAGCCAGGCTGCAGGGACTAAATAAGAAAATCAATGGAACGCTTGGCCAATCTCATTCTCTACAGGTCTTTCCTTCTTCATTTGCAATAAGCCTTGGAAGTGAAGGCCAAGAAAAGGAATGGGTCTTTTATAGATCATTTATTATAATAGTGCAGAGTCCAGGGATCATTATAGGACCCAACCACATATGATTAATTCCCTTGTTCTAAACGTATTTCCTTTTTTTTCCCCTTTAGGTTTCTCCCTCAAGATGTTCGGGATTGTGCAGTTGAAGAAAATCCTGCCAGAAGAAGCAAAAGGTCAGTGTACTGGTGGTCCCAAACTTGGATAAATGAACATTGGTTGCATAAGGAAGTTTAAGGTACTGCATCTGTGTAAAATATAATATACAAAGTCAGTATCCATATCTCTGCAAGTCTGTGGTGATTCTTAAAGGGCTAAAAGAAAGTTTAAGAAGTTATAAAATGCGCCAGTTGTGTTTGATAAATTTCCCATTCTCTATAAACATTCACTTAATGGTTGAATACAAAAGTAAGTGGCTGTTTTAGATCACCGAGCCACTATAAATGACATTAACTTGAATGATGACTGCACATTGTCCAAAATTTAAAAGAACCCCATTTTTAGAAACATTATTTTGAGACATAATGGTACAATGATATCTCTCAAATACATTGGCTGGCCGCTAGCCTGCTCCATAGTAACAATAAGTGAAGTTGTAATAATAAAAAGGACATTTTATCATGTCTGCTCATAGCCATAAAACCGTCCTCCTCAGTGCCTCACCTGCTCACAGTGCACCGGAGCGTCACTTGGTTTTTGCACTATGCTTTTATTAGCTAATGGGACTTAATATTTCATGAGCTATTAATGGACGCCTGGCTTGTAATTAGTATTGTGGTGGAGGGATATGTACGCATGTGTCTTCATTAGGCTTGGGACTAGCTCTTTTTATCTTCATTACGTGTACTTCACATCATTTTTCACTGGCACTTTATTATTACACCTTTGTTTTTGTTTGCTGCTCGTCTCTGAGAGCTCGTTAGGCAGTGGGGAGGTGCTCTGAGCAGACAGGCGTGTACACAAAAGCATAGCCAGCTTGTAAATGATTTTGCCCTCTAATCTTTCACTTTGATTAAGGCCTTCATATCTGAAATTCTCTTTTTCTCTCTACCAGAAGAGAGACTGTCAACTGCTTTTTGGTTAAGAGTGCATTCTAGTGCTGGTATTTTGGGAGGTCAGTAGCACAACTTGAAGGGAGTGAAATGGCTATAGAATTAAATAATACAGGGGTAATTTTCAGTAAACAAATTGAATAGTGACCCAGTATGTGTTTCTTTTATAGTCTAAAACTAATCTGTATCTTGGAGTTTCTCTGCTTGTACTGAACACATCTTCAAAGCTTCCATATTACGCTGTTTTCTGATCTGTGTTATAATGTGGTTTACTTGCCAAAAACATATTTGCAGTTGTGTCTTATTTCATTCGCACCACAAATCCTGCATATTTAAGTTCTTCTGTCAAATGGAAAACAATCTTTTCCACCTAATGATGTCATGTGGTAATACAGGAAGTGCTCCACTATATTTTTAAACTCCACACACCTTCCCTAGATTCATTTGGATAATATCAACCCAGGATTTGCCTATCTTTACTAAACTTAAAGTTAACGGTAGCAGCTGAAAACTACAACTACATGACATCACAACGTGGAACAGAGCATTTTGAGCTTTGGAGGTGTAGACAGACTAATAATGAAGGACTGTGTGAAAGAAATAAAACAAAGCTTGTGGTATGTTTTTGATGAGGTAACAGCATTATAACATGGCTTAAAGCTCACAACCTTTAACTACATCCACAGTGAAATGTAAAACATTTTGCAATTGAGCAACCACATCTGACCACGTTTTACTCATGAGAAATTGTCGCTGCATCCATATAATTCTTTTAAACAGTCTAAAATTAGACAAGGACAAAATGAAGTAAATGTCTTTTGGATGCTGCTGTATAGTTCTCTCCATCTCTGCATCGTCCCCTGCATAGCTAATGACACATCAGACTATTGACCTTTGGACACTGCGCTCACTGTAATAGTGTTGGAAATGTCAGGCCCCGCTGCTATAAACCACGGATGGCCCAGTAGACAGTGTTTTGATTGGACAAATTACTATGGGAGGTGTAAAAGAGACATTTTCTTATACATCTTTTGACATGAGATCCTAATTCATTTTAATAATGCATAAAAGTGAATGGAATCTGCTTGTGTGATAAATTACATGCAATATTAACATTTTTCTTATTCACTTTTACTCTCCAGCAGTCGTGTGTGATTGTGGGGACTTTATTGCCTCTGGTATCTGGGGGAACACAGGCCGACATTAGCAGCCAAAGGCCTCAAGGGCGTGCATCGCTGTGGCAGCCGCTGCTCTTTACCGCCGCGATTCATGTGGGCCTCTATATTCTAGTTGTATTATCTTAATTGTCCTGGCAAGTATGTTCAGTGGTTATATTATCAATTTATGGCCCCTCTTGCCACCCCATTAATCCAGCAGTTAAAACAGTGTAACCGGTGGCTCAAACTCACTGCTCAGAGAGGAGAATAAACCTGTCTGAGATTGGCCTGTGGCAGCTCAGGCGAGACACTTTTGTTCAAGTACAATAGCTATACATGAGCTATTTTAATCAAAGTTTTTAGTGCTGTGAAGGGTGGTGGCATCATTCTCGTGCCTAAAACTGTAAAGGTGGGTCATATTGATTTCTAAATAGTAAAAACAAAGCAGAATTTGACTAATAAGGACTTCAACAAGGCTTTGTTAGAGTTATACATACAGTACACTTAATTTTTTTAGGTACTACTAATTTTAAACATAATGTTCTCCAATCACAACTGGCATGTCATTAGCTGCCATATGGAGTTCAACAGTGACCACTCGCTCCGGTTGTGGGAATACATTTAATTTAAATTTTTTCCACAGACTTTTCAAAAAAATCTAATATTAAGAGTTCAAAAACATCACAGAGGCTAAGCAGCTATGTGTTAACTAATATCCATAACGTGGTTGTGGTGAGTCCAAAAAGGCCCCGAAGGTTATTTCCAAGCAAGCTTTTGAACTTTTATTATTTATTTACATTTTTTGTTTGAATGTCTATGAGAAAAATGAATGGGAAATTTTGTTCCGAAAAACAGGGAGGTGGGCGGTCACTATTGAGCTCTGTTAGACACAAGTATGTAAATGATTGTAAAAGGTTTTAAATGTTGGACTAAACAGCTATTAGTAATGTGTATGGTTTTATTATACAAAAATAAACCTTTTCTGGGTCAAAAGGTCAAACATTACCAAATGTTCACCAAAACATCAGACAACTGGGACCCCTATTTCTCAAATGAGTATCCCTAGTATCTCTAATATAAATAGGACTAAATCTAACTGTATTTAATTTGAATATGTTAAATTTTCCAGACAACGTTGCTAGCTGCTGTTTTTTTTGTTTTTTTTTTTTGGGGGGGTTTTTTTGCTTCTACTTTTTTGCCCCGCCCCTCTGTATGATGTCATATGCCAGAGGTGAAAGGTCCCCATGCCTGATCCAATTACAGGCCTGTCATATACTCCACATGATCCAGAGAACTGAAATGTCACCAGCTGTTTTACCAGAACGTGGCTTCCTCTGAGACCTAAATCACTTCTAAACACTCGCACAGAAGCGTATATAACGTGAAACATCCTATCTCGCCATGGCTTTTGTTGAAAATGTAATACAAGCTAACAAATCGAACTATACCTTAATGTCTTAGATGAAATTTCCATTAACGTGATGCATTGACGGGGAACTTGGAGCCATCTTGTGCATTTGTGTACTATCTATTTCAGCTCTATCCTTCTTGCCTGGGCTGGATACTGCACCAACAGTAATTGCCTGACCTTTACGCCAGCCAGATAGTCTCATTAAGCCTGATGGATAATGATGGCACCTCGGCCAGCTACGTGGACCTCTGTGATAATGAAACAACACAACGGCCCCGCTGCTCCACTGGGGGGGTCACTGTTAGAAGGCTGATAGCCCAGAGAGAGTGGCCTGTCGCTGGGCTAACAACAGGACCCCAGCCCCCTGTAGTGTCACCCTCCACTCATACATTAGATACACTGGAAATGACAATGTTATGGTAATGTGCTGCTGCTGTCTTTGCTCTTACATTCAGGAGACCTTGATATGCTCGTATCATTGGGAACTTCCAAATCTCCAGAGATGTGTTGGTGGTGTGTGAATTGTAAATTAAAGGGTGCTATCAGTGGTATCTTGAGATAACATATTTATGCTACTTTTGTTTATATAGGAAAAATCTGCTTACCATTCAAGTTTTATTACCATTTCCTTTAGACCTCCATTCAAGGGTCTATATGAATACCATATAGTATAGTAAAACTACTACAAATGTTTACAGCACCATTTGTCCAGGATTGGGACTGGCACAAAAGGTAAACCTAAAGAAGTGTTTAGACTGTAAACATAAACCAAAATGGTGGCAAATTATTTTACAATGAAAGTTTCAAATATTTAACTTATGGGTGTGATGCAATCATTCTAAAACAATATATTGCTTTGCTGTTGTGAATAGAGTATGGGTTCTTAAATGAGATCATGTGTACTATCTTAAGTGAGTCATTGGGTGTGATTCATTTCTTTGACAGTTCTGTCTGTGCATCCGCTCAGGTGTAAACTGCTGGATTTGACTTGTGTGCCTCTATGTGGCTCCTGTCAGATTAGAATCTGACAGAAACTGGCTCATCAGGACCTGTCTACCAAATGTGAAACCAGTATTAATGAGTCATAGAGTGATAACACATGTTCACCAGCACACTCATCATTTTGTTAATACTTTATCACAGTGGTAGTGTGGCACCTGAATTATTACTTATTATATTTACTAATATAGACTAGACTGATATAGACCTTTTTCTTTTGTGTATCAAAATCAGATAAATGGAAGAGATTATTCCTGGAAGGGCACTCTGCTTTGCCTACATCTGTTGGGACTCCTGGAGGCTCGGAGCCCTGTGCAACTATGAGCTAAAGCCAAAATGTAGATTTGTGGTCACAGTTCAGTTCAGATAAATGCAAAAATTAAGCAGTCAGATCTAAATAGGATTGCTTATACAAGTGTATGGACATCCATGGTTTGTGGTTGTTACAACAATAGGACCATGTCCTGGCCGGGCTTTCAGAGCCAGCAGGGGGTGCTGACACCTTGATAACTATGTGCTCCCCCCCTCTCCATCTCTCCCCTCTCTCCCCTGTGTGT